ATTTCTCACAACACTATTGAGCACTATAAACTAATAGTGCTCATTTCATTACTTGAGTCTTTAATTAAAAAAAAAAAAAGTTGAACTAGTGTCAAAATCTGTCTAGCTAATTTAATGAAAAAAAATAAAATTCAATCTTTATTTTCCTGAAAATGTCTTAAAAATTGAACAGTTTGATGAATGGTTTACAGACCTGTGTATGTTGCAGGTTCAGTTCCAATATGTACTGCAGTATTGTTTACAGTTGTGCACAGCTCTACCCAAAGGAAGTGTATGTTTGTTGTAAATAAGGGTGCATTTATTCTCTTGCACAATGCTGTGAATAAATTAGGATTGTAAATGGCAAATGCAGTAACAATGTGAAACATACATATTCAGTGTCTTGTACTCAGATACCTCACTAAATGCAGTGATGTCTAACTTTACTGTAGTTTTTAAATGGCTGATGCTAACAGTATCTAGTGTTGTCTTGAGCATTTTCAGCAAGTGTCACCAAAATCTGACTGTTTTGCATTGGAAAAATGTACAGAGTAAACTGTCATAATGAAAACATGATGACTATCTTGGTCAAAAACAATGGTGTCAGGACTTTTCATTTTGATGATACTGACACTTTGATTGACATGGATACTTGCTTTTGAGGAATGAGCTCTCCATTTTGAGCAAGTGACGCGCTTTTGCCGGTTATCAGCTAGGTTTTGCAGTTTGTACTAATTGTTTTGAGAAATGCATGAATTGTTGTGCAAATGTAAACAGTGTTGTGAGAAATGCACCAAAGCCACTGAGAAAAACTGTAAAAAAAACAAAAAAAAAAACATTAAAGTCATCTCTCTTAGTTGTAACTTGCTTTTGAAATATTTTTACGGCTCAGTTTGTGCCATCTTTATATTACAGTTTTTCTCAGTAGCTTTGGTGCATTTCTCACAACACTATTTAGCACTATAAACTAATAGTGCTCATTTCATTACTTGAGTCTTTAATTTAAAAAAAAAAAGTTGAACTAGTGTCAAAATCTCTCTAGATAATTTAATGAAAAAAATAAAATTCAATCTTTATTTTCCTGAAAATGTCTTAAAAAATTGAACAGTTTGATGAATGATTTACAGACCTGTGTATGTTGCAGGTTCAGTTCCAATATGTACTGCAGTATTGTTTACAATTGTGCACAGCTCTACCCAAAGGAAGTGTATGTTTGTTTAAATAAGGGTGCATTTATTCTCTTGCACAATGCTGTGAGTAAATTAGGATTGTAAATGGCAAATGCAGTAACAATGTGAAACATACATATTCAGTGTCTTGTACTCAGATAACTCACTAAATGCAGTGATGTCTAACTTTACTGTAGTTTCCAAATGGCTGATGCTAACAGTATCTAGTGCTGTCTCCAAAATCTGACAGTTTTGCATTGAAAAAATGTACAGAGTAAACTGTCATGATGAAAAAATGACAAAACCATTTGACTATCTTGTTCATAAACAATGGTGTCAGGACTTTTCATTTTGATGATACTGACACTTTGATTGACATGGATACTTGCTTTTGAGGATTGAGCTCTCCATTTTGAGCAAGTGAAGCGCTTTTGCCGATTATCAGCTAGGTTTTGCAGTTTGTACTAATTGTTGTGAGAAATGCATGAATTGTTGTGCAAATGTAAATAGTGTTGTGAGAAATGCACCAAAGCCACTGAGAAAAACTGCAAAAAAATAAATAAATAAAAAATAAAAAAAAAAACATTAAAGTCATCTCTCTTAGTTGTAACTTGCTTTTGAAATATTTTTACGGTTCAGTTTGTGCCATCTTTATATTACAGTTTTTCTCAGTAGCTTTGGTGCATTTCTCACAACACTATTGAGCACTATAAACTAATAGTGCTCATTTCATTACTTGAGTCTTTAATTAAAAAAAAAAAAAGTTGAACTAGTGTCAAAATCTGTCTAGCTAATTTAATGAAAAAAAATAAAATTCAATATTTATTTTCCTGAAAATGTCTTAAAAATTGAACAGTTTGATGAATGGTTTACAGACCTGTGTATGTTGCAGGTTCAGTTCCAATATGTACTGCAGTATTGTTTACAGCTGTGCACAGCTCTACCCAAAGGAAGTTTATGTTTGTTGTAAATAAGGGTGCATTTATTCTTTTGCACAATGCTGTGAATAAATCAGAATTGTAAAGAGCAAATGCAGTAACAATGTGAAACATACATATTCAGTGTCTTGTACTCAGATACCTCACTAAATGCAGTGATGTCTAACTTTGCTGTAGTTT